GTCTCCTCCTGTCCTCTCTTTCTTTCCAGCCTGCTCTCCAGGAAGGCCAACCTCCAAGAGGGGAGGGACCCGAACCTTGCCGTAGGACACGCTCCCTTGGGACCAACCCGTTTTGTTCAGACAGAGGCACGAAATGGAATGCACAAACCGTGTTGAGTTAGGGAAGCGGTGGAGGACCGAGTGGTCTGTAACAAAGAGCAGGATGTTTTCCATCTCTCATCCTGGGTCCTCAGTTGTGGATTTGCTGTGGTTCCCTGATGCCTGGAAAAGAAAAAATCTACAAAACCAAAATGCATCATGTAGAAAGTTTACCCTTTCAACTCAGCCTTCACTTTCAAACAAATTGCTGAGCCACATGCCAGGGTCTGCCGAAGCAAACCGTTTAATTTCTGTCTGCTCCTCTCTGCTTAAGGGTAATAAATAAAGATTTTCATTGTTAATTGTAACCACATGTGAACTCCAAATAGAAGGATTAGGAAGAGGAAAAGGCCTGGGCCGTTTGCATTCTGGTTCCCAGGCCTTCCCCCTGCAGCTCAGTTACATTTTTCCTCGCCTCCCAGTACATTCAGCAGTCTGTTTCGGAGAGGCCGGAATCCTGTCTGCTCAAATGGTGGGAGTCTGGAAGGCATTTCCGAGTCAGCGGTTAAATCTTTATTGACTCGTGGTACCAAATTGAAATCTAATAAAGATCACTGCTGGGTCTCCTTGGGACGGGAGGTGGGAGAGGAAAGGAAATTTATAACCATCAATCTGGTTTTCTTCCTTTCTTTTTTTAGTCCATCTTTTAGAATTGTCCGACTTGTGCCAGCTGCACTCGCGTTTCTGTCTCAAGCACGAGGGTAAAACATGTATGGTTGTGAGAGCTGGGTTGTTGTAAAACCCTGGTGTCGACAGAAAGCTGTCTTAATGTGTGTTAATGGGTCATGGGTTCACCCTGACTTGCTAACATGTTAAAATTAAAACCTGCCCGGACTACACAAGAGGTTTTAAGAAAATCTAACGTATCCTGATCTAGATAAACACACACACACACACACACACACACACACACACACACACACACACACACACACACACACACACACACACTTCTCTGAGGCCCCACATTAATGACTCATTTCAGAGATGTTTAGTTACCTTATCAGCAGGGAACTATAATAGCTTACCCATTCATTTTTCCAGTCCTTTGTTCTTGGGTACAACAGAGTAGAAGAAGGGAATAAAACACAGTTATTGTGAAGGGGAGTGAACCATGGTGTGATAGCCCTGTAAACAGGTTTGGTGTGATGGCTCTGTAAACAGGTTTTTAATTCATCAGTCCTGCCCAAGTCATTATGCAAAACCTGACTGGTCCCAAGCTGCTTCCCCCCTTTTCTTGAAAATTGGCAAGGATCAGTATGCTGGTGCATCATTTTACATTTTTTAACGCGAACATCCCAGCTGCAGCTTCATGCCCAAGCAGGGTGATTCTGGCAGTAGCGAGATGCAGCCCTCGGACCGCATAAATTACATATGCATCATTTTCCATTTTGAGTCTTGCTGTGGCATAAGGCTCAGTGTGAGCGGGACGTCGCATCGACGTGGAGGCAGGTCTCAGCATGAAAGGAAGGGACGTTGCAAACAGAAGCAGCCTCGTCGGATGCTGTAGGCAGCGAATAGAAGGAAATTCTGTCCTGTCCTCCTGGTGAAGTGGGTCTGTGCCATTTATCCTCTCACTAGCGCACCTGCCTAGACATCCATGCATTGGCCTTTCACTCCTGCATATAATTGGGAGAGGGCCTTAATCCGTGGGCTTAAGGAAATCCATTACATCAGCACTACATTATTGCTAGTCTGGTCCCCTGGCTCCTCCTCTGCTTTTAAAAATTAATGGAAGCGTGCTGTTCCTTATTATGGCCCTGCTCCCGTTATGGCTGGGAGGGAACATATGCCTGCAGCCATCAGCTGCAGTTTTCTGCACAGAGATGGTCTTCATGGAAAACAAAAGGATGAAGCCTACGCCTGGCAAAAGACCTCCCGACTGCCAAAGTCAGTCCCTTGAAGCTGATGATCAGTCTCTTGAACACACCATGTCCACAAGTCTTCTAGGAGTGCGGATAGCCTCCCTTGCTTCATGAAATAGGATGACTGAAACCTCTCTGGACAAATAGAAGGAAGCAACTTGGTGTCCACTGAGGAGCTGCTGTACCACGCTTAATCCCTGGGGACCTGGACCGGTTGTCACGCCCAGCATATGGCTTCAAATGCAATCCAGCATCTTCCCTCCCTTTATAGTGTCACTTAAAAGGCATGGGAATAGTTTTGCCCACCTGGCCTAATACGGAGTTAAATTTCACCCCTGCTCACTCAGTTCTGCTCCAATTATTGCCCCAATATGGGAAGAGTAGCCAGGGCCAGGGAAAGCTTGGGATGGTATATCATCTTGGTGTAAGCCAGCTTTAGGGCCAGAGCTACCTCAGAAGAAAGTAACTTTTATCTCAAGGGGAAAAAAAACTTTTCTACTGTATTATTTAGGCTTTTGCACCATCTTCTCCCCGCACCCAGCCCACCTGAGAACCTGCCAGCAGAGCGTTAAGGACTGTGACTAACATCTGTCGCGAGTGCTCGGTTCTTCCCCCATGATGAAAATCATCTGAAAAGCAGTGACCTACATTTTCAGCGGTGACAAGTGACTTTTCATGCCTCTATTTTTGGGTGCCTAGCTTGAGACACCCTTCGCAACAGCCTGATTCTCCCAAGGGCAGGTGCTCACTGTCTGGAAATCAGGCTGCTTTAGACTGCCTTGGATCGGGCATCCAAAAATGACCCCTTGTGTTCTGAAAGGACGGGTCGACTGTAGCCGCTGCCTAAAGAAATAGAAGGTCCCAGTGGTTGGTGTGTCTGGGCTTCATTGTAGAGGGTGGAAGTCCTCGGTGCATCCAAATCTGATGCCCCCGATGAAGCCCAGAGGGCTCTTCTGTATTTGGCAGTGATGGGGGAGGCTAGTTTCATATCTCAAGCAATCTGATGCCAGTTCTTAGCATTGTGTCTTGGTAAGCATGGTGAGGGTGGGGGCTGAGAAATCTCTCTTCCCCCAAAGGGTAGCTGCATAAAACTGGTTTCAAAAGAAGGCATAGGTGAATAGCCACTGGCAGTTAGGTTTGCTCGCATTCAACAGGCACAGTCAGTGCTCTTCTATCACTTGCTTAGGACAAAGGCCGAGGCACTTTGGTGGGAGTGAGGGTGGCTTAAAACTCCTGGTGACTTCAGTGGCGTGGGGGAAGGCAGGGGTTGCCATATCCTAGGGGCTCCACAGGAACATGCTCACGATCCCTTCTTGTGTTGCATTGCAGCAGGCAGCCCAGAGTCTCAAACCTCTCGTTCCCATCAAGTTCTGCATCTCCAGCCGGACGGATGCTGGAGTCCACGCCTTGTGCAACTCGGCACACGTTGACATCCAGAGGAAGGCTGGGAAGCCGCCTTTTCCTGGGAGTGTTCTTGTCTCCTCTCTCAATCGCTGCCTGAAATCTGAAGAGATCCGGTGAGTTGGGCGGTGGGGTGAGGCTTTGCTTTGTGGTCATGGGGGGAGGAAGTGAAGAAGTCCTGTGTTTATCCATATGCAGGTGGGGCTCTATCAGACGCCTCTGTGAGCTGCCCTGCTCCACCCAGAGGGTCTCTATCCCACCAGCCTGGCAACACTATGACCAGCTCACTGCATCCCAGTAATGCCCCTTTGTGGGTCCCCCCTTAAGCTAGACTTTCTGTGGGTCTCCTAGGGAAGCCAGCCTTTATAGTCACTAGTTTCAGGGCATGGCCACCCCACCAGAGTTTAGCCATACAACTGGGTTACACAGTCCTTGCTAGATTATCAGTGGACAGTGTTGTAGTCCAGCCCTTTTTCAGAGGAGCCTTCCATTTGCTTGTGTATTTGCATCCAGCACTTAAAAAAACCCAACGAATTACGATCATGCTCCACAGCATAAAAACCTGAGAGCAAGTAAACAGGGTTTGCTGTTGGAATTGCAGGCTCCACACCCACCCTGCTCCAGCCTCAGCCCCAGCCCGTCTCAGCACAGTCTGCTCTGCTGCTTGACCTGGTGGAGAAAAGTGAAATCAGAATCCCCCAGGATATTATTCTTGTAATGAAATGGGATGCTTTGCTCAGCGGGGTGGGTGTACAATTTTGTGTTCTTATACCGAGTGGGTGATGACCAGAGAAAGGAGAGCACAGCTACGGCGATAAGCACAGTGGAAAAATCCATATAGAAGAGAATAGGATGTCTGGCAGTTTCTCTTTTTCTCCCCCCTCCCCTCTTCCTCCATTACAGTTATTACTAGTTCTCATAGAATCACAGAATTGGCTTATTTTGGGCAAAACCCAAGTCTAAACACCCACCCTCCAAGGCCTTACTGCTGGAAAAAAACGATCATTAAACCGACAGCTTTTATCAAGAAGTTTCTTCAGTTACATAAGCAGTTTCTAAGCTGTGTGAATTTTGTGTCTTTCAAAGGACTGGATAAATTCAGTGTTCATCTGCTTCCATCCTAAATAGTGTGGTTTTACTGTCCTCCATTAAATAGCTGGACTATTCCTCCCCAGAGGCAGATGCATTTAATAATTGCTGAGTAAACTCTACAAGAGATGTTTATCCTGCCTTTTGGGGGTTGTTTTGGGAGCAAAAACCCAACACATTCATCCTCAAATGGAAATAAGATATTTGTCTCCACTCCTTTCCCTTATTCCTTTGTTTGTCTGGCCTATTTAGATTGTAAATGGGATTAGATTTAGATCTTAAAGTGGGCAGGGATTGCTTCCTATGAACAAAACCTTGTGCAATGAAGTCCTGCTGGGTTTTGTCTCAAGGGATTGCCACAATTAATAATATACCAAGGGACTTTACGACTTAAAATAAGCACGTCAGAAGTGGAGTAACTCGTCTAAGGTATTTGGGCCAGGGCCTGAGATCTGAGTGAAGTGCAAGATGTCCATCAGGGTGAAGATCAGTGTGGCCTGTCCCATCACATCACTGTGACCCACCCCCTCTCTGGCAGCATGAACCTAAACAAAGGGTAGATTACAGGGGCAAATGGCAGAGCCAGCAGGCCCAGGACAAAAAGCAAATCCTGCTGTGTTTTCAGAGGTGAGGGATTGTTGGTAAGAACAGCAACAGTATTGTGAAGCGCCCCTCTTCTGCCAGCTCACGCTCTTTGCTTTTTATGTCCTAATCTCTGGTTTGTATAGCAAGGCCCAGGCCACATGCCAGCTCAGCACAGCCTGGGCTTTGGAGGCTGATGTCACCTGTGCATCTGCCCCGGGCATAGGGCATCGCACCCAGTTGCTGGGGGTCGGGGAATCCTCTGAATTGTGCTGGCTCTGAAGGCTTTTGTGTTGTTTGTGCACGTGTATGGGAGGGGGAGGTAGCACGTGGCAGGTATTTTAATGCCACTCGTTTTTCCCACTGGGTTTTTTCAGGATTATGCTGTCCCATACCAGGGGCTTGCTAGGGCTCAGGAAATGCTGTCCTGTGCTGATCAGAACAGTGAAACGCAGGGAGCGTTTTGCACATGCTGGTGGTGTGGTCACTGCAGGCTACCCCTGTTTCACAGCTGAGATGGGCAGACAGACGGAGATCAGGGCCTGGCTGAGGAGGATCTGCTCACCCAGAGCTCTCCATCTTCCTCTGGAGTAGGTGCTGCTCAGCGTCCCTGCAGATTGGGGCGTGAGAGCTAGACTCTCACCGGTGTTTGAGCACTGTGAGATGCAGAAAGACACTGCTTGGAAGTTTCCAACGTGCCCATGCAGGCCAGATGGCCAACTCCCAGGATTTCAATTAGGCACTTCCACCTGTATCCTGAGCCCGTGTCGGAGCCAGAAGTAGGCCAGAGGGGGTCCTGGTACCAAATCTGCTCCCTCTGTTTCTGGCTGTGGCCGGGAGAGAGGGCTCTCTGCTTCTCCCTGCTCTTGTTCCTGGTGTCATAGTTGCTGGAGCTTGGTCTGCTGCAGAGCTGGTCACGGCTCAGTTCCCCAGGACTTGTCCTTGGTGACGCTTGCAGGGAGTTTCCAGCTGTGGCTGTAGCCATGCGTGGGCCCATGTGCATGACCCCTCCATCGTGCCTTGCAGTTGGAGCTGCCCACTTGCCTTCTAAATTCAGCGACTGGTCCTCAATCATGCTTGCCGCACCATTGCCTACCCATGGACAGTGAAAGCTCTCTTAGTCTCTAAACTGGAGAAGTGCTGATGCTTGTAGCTCCCATGGCCTTCAGGTGGTCAGCACCTCTCAGGAGCAGGCCCTGGCTCTGCTTTATTCTTGGAGCTGCGTGACTGATGCTTTGTCTTTAAATACAGCGAGGCCTTTTGTCTGAAGACTCTCGGCTTAGTTAATAAATGAAGCCACGGCATCTGCAGCATCTGTCTCAGAGCCAGATGCAGGCTCCTGCCTCTGAGCCAGTGCCATGGTTTCTGCTGGAGAGTAGAAGGGAAGATTAAGCTGAATCCTTGGAATTTGGGCTGCACATCTATAGGGGTAGCAGGGGGAAGTGCTGTAAGGGCCTTTTCATTAGAGGCACAGAGCTCATTTTAACCACTTTGAACTATTTTTTGAGGGGTTTGCTGCTCCTTTGCTGACATTTAGGAGGTCTTTTGGAGAGGTGGCCAAGCAGTCCCCATGCACCCACAAAGACCCCCCCGCTCTCTCATCCTTTTTGCCTACCTTCCTGCCTGCTGTCTCTTCAGGATCAGCTTAGCCTTAGTCTCTGCTGTTCCTTTTAAACACCTTCAAATAGTATCCACAGTGCATCCCAGTCCCTAGAAACACTCTTTTCATGAGATCATGTTCAAGTAGCCAAGTCCAGCTGCCCACTCACCCTCTTAAACTCGAAAAGAAAATACGATGGGTTGTTGTTTTTTTTAACCTGCGTGACACAGCAAAGCAATGACAGACTTGACTGAAAAGATGCAAAGCAAAAAAAATCAGGAACAAGTTCAATTTTGAACATCTCTGCCCTTTTATAGCACTCAGCTGTACTGCAAAGAGCCTACGCATCTTTATAATTTCACTAGTGGAAACCTCCAGCCAGACAGATTGGCAGTGGCTGTGGTTACCTTTTGGCCTGCGAATTCACAGTGGGAGGCCAGCACGTGAAGCAAGTATCTTGCAACCCAGCTGCAGTTACATGTTTAACATCTGTGGGGAACTGTCCCCCGATAGCTTTCACCTTGTACAACATATATAAAAAAGAGGCCAGCACAGCTGCACGGCAGAGCTCGGACAGGGTTTGTTTTCTGATTACTCTCTGGTTTAAAGAACAAAATGCCGTGACTTGGAGTTTGACTTATATTTTTGGGCTAAAGACTAGGCTGGGACATGAGTGGTTTGGAAGCCAACTGCAGCCTGCCCTTGCAAGCAAGAGGGAGCGTGGATACGACCCGGGAGTTCACAACTGAATGACGGTCCGGCATGATCTGCTGGTGGCAGCAGTAGTTTAGGAAGTAGAGCTCAGTGAGTTTAAGGCCCAAGGGACCCTTAAAACTATCTGGTCTGCTGTCCTCTGTAACACAGCCATTCAGCTCCTCCGGTATAATTGTGGGTCCTGTTGGGTTCACTTTTAATGGCCCGGGGAGTGAAAAGTACTGATGTGAGCCTGTCACTGTACAACCTTAAACAGTTAAGCAGGATTTGGCTTTTAAATACAAAGAACCCAATTTGCTCAGTCCCAGGAAAACCATCTTGCTTTAAAGAACCCATTAACCCAGTTGTAGCAGCTGATACGGTGGGTTGTTGCCTATGAAAGCTCATGTCTCTCTCAATGAGTCCATCTCCTAGGTGCCGCCTTGTCTTGGCTTTTGCTGTAAACTCTTAAGCAAGACTTTTCTTTAACAAGGTCCATTATTCCCCTCCCTGCATTCAGGAAGGAAGCACCTCTCAGTAATGTGTTTCCAATAGGAAAACACAGCAAATGGAAGGTGGGGTAGAGGGTAGAGCTTGAAAAGGCACAGCCCATAGCCTGTCCTTGCAATTCTTCCCTGTTTTAATTGGGTTTTTGTTGCTAGGGGAAAGGAGCCTGTAAGAAGGGTATTTTCTATAGAAAAGAATGAGGTAAGTACTGAGATGGGGGAGCTGAAGGCCAGAGCCAGCTTCTGGTGAGCATACGTGGCGCTCTTGGAAGCCCATGGGATCCTTTGCCTAGGTCAGAGGGTGAAATCTGGCCTCTGATCATTATAAATGAGAGCTCTGGGACTGATGAGGTGCAGGGTGCTGATATGTTAATGGGAGAGGGAGGAACAGTGTTTCCCAGAACTGGATTTTAATATCTTCAGCTGTTGTCTGAGAGGAGCAGGATGAAGGAATCAGCTTTCAATCCAGCAGGCTGCCAGAAGGTGTGGTCCAGTCACTGCTGTGCAATTAAAAGGTGACCCATGGGCTCGCGCAGCATGATACTGCGGTGCTTTGCCTTTCTCTAGCACAGTGGTTTTCAACCTTTTTTCATTTGCAGACCCCTTTGGAAATTTCGAACGGAGGTGCCAGACCCCTTTGAATTGT